TCTTTCATTTTTGTATTTCTTTCTAAATTCGTCCTGTCCAATTCAACGGCCTCCAATCTAGCGCGATTATCTACCGTGTACTTTAAATTGAATTTCATGCCTTCGGTTTTTATGGTTTGCTCTTGAAGAGAGAAGTTCTGGTTGTACGGCGTCATTACCATGCACCTCTTATTATTTATAGTTATTAGTAGGCAATTATTGTACTCAGCTCCCTCACATAATCGTCTCCGTTTCTCCCTTCCTTTCCCCAGGGTTTTCTGGCAAAGGGCTGACTAGTGCTGCCTTCACATGTGCATGCTTCGAAGCACTAATCACTAATTAAAGGCACGAATTGTTTTTCCTTTGACGAATTATTCATGTTAGTTTTAAAGTATTCACCGACCACTTAGTTGTTTGTGTTTCGCAGCACTCGACTCAGCGGGTCGTTAACAAAGCGCGTGGAAACCGAAGCTCCTTTGCATCTCTGCATCGAAGCTCCTTTTTTTAAAGCACTAATATATAGTTTAAGACGTCAGTTAATATTTATTTCAAGGCGCTTACATTCACTTGAAATCACTGATCTTTGTTTTGTACCAGTAGATATTTTAGAGTATGAAATTTTGCCTGAAGGCGTTGGCCAGAGGAAGGAAATGCAACTGAAATGGATAACATCGAGCTACTTGTCGAAACTTCTCTCAGTGCTCAGCGCTGATTGCACACATTAGCTTGGCAGCTAGCTAGCTAGCTAGTCGGGCAACTACGGATGGTGCACGCTTCCCGACTTGCTACGTCAAAAGCAGTATCCTCTGCAATCCCCTACCCTTCAGTAGACTGAAGCAGCGCGACTTGGATGACGAAAGACGGAACAAAGGAATAAAAAAAGGGCGGGGGGAATCTGCGTTAGAGGCTGTTGAATTTGTTTGCCTCTCTTTGTTTTGTTAGCTAGCTGTGGTTCACGGATAGTGGACTGATGCGAAACGGCTTTCTTGATCGCAAAGGCATGCAAGTTGCATGCACATTACATCTGCTTTGCCAGTACTTTCAGTTCTTCTTCAGAAGGAACAACTAAAACGTGCTTCATCAGCAGCAAATACGCAACATGGTAATCGCTGCGACCTCCTGCGAGGTCGATCGATTCCCACGGAATTTCTGTGACTTTGTCATCATCGAATTTCCTCCACATGATCACATTCTTTTGCTTCTTTGCAGCGGGTCCCGAAGAAGCTGTTTGCTCCTCCTGTTCTTCTTCCTCTTTCTTCTTCTCATTTTCTGCGCTCGGGGGCTCCTGAGGTGTATCCGCACCCCCTGCACGTGCCCAGCCCACGTAATGTCCGCTGTCTGCATACCGGCCTTGGTGCGTCACGACACTCAACAGCTGGAAAGTCCCTGTAGGACATGGT